TGGCTAATTCTGTGAAAATTAAAACAACAGGAGTTGTCACTAGCCTCGTGAGGAACATTGTTGGGAGCTCGCGCATGTGCCTGTCGCCGAATTTTACCAACTCAGCATAAATCCCATCGACATTGAAAATTTATTCGCCCTTAGATATTTCAAGGCTTTTCTTATTTCATATGCAAAGAGGATCAGAGGATCTCGAATGGCTTTCAACTACCATAAATGTCCAGTTGTTTTTCTGGGTCGCATGAACTCATTAGTCTTACGAAAAAATCAGGCCATCATTTTTTTGTCGAATCACCCTGCATCGAGTTATCCCGCTCATCGCTTAAGAGACATGGTGGAGCCTGCAAAGACATGTTCAAATACTGACGAATATGGCAGCTTAAGTAGCATGATTTCTCTGCACGGGTTCTAGAATACAAATCACTGTGTGGTGAAGATGTCCAGCTTAATTGTTTATAATGGAAGAAGGCACTCAAGGAAGTTCTAGAACTTTCGCGCAACTTTTGGATACTAGTAGAAAGCATAGAACTGCTGTAGAACTGAGTGAAATCTTTTGAGCTTGAAACAATAGTTTGAGCTTCTTCGAGTGACTGGACCCAAAAATAGACGACGCCGAGTGCTGCAACGTATCGTCTATGTATTTAATGAATGAAGATCTTACGAAAACACATAAATACAGATTACTTTGTGAGCGTGTTCATTGTTACAGTCATCCATTCGTTAAGTGCATCGAAAAGATAGTTGAAGATGACTGAATACCACGGCGTGATTGCACACTTGATACCGCTTGTAACAACATGCGCAAACCGGGTCGCATACCCGCTGCGAGTCAGTTTTGAGTAGCCAACCGGGGTTCCATTCATTGTCATTTGTCAATGAATGATCGTAGAGTAAAGTTTCGGTGCGGTGTGTGAATGAGGTTAAAGTTCGGCATGGCCTTGCGAAGAACCTGTTGTTGAACTAAGACGGCGGTCCTGCAGCTTCATACGCCGTCATCATCGCAAACGCCTCCGGTCACACCGTTAATTACACCTCGGCAAGGACGCAACACTTCGCTACTGTTGCGGCGCCCTGGCCTTAAACTCATAGCACCGGAACTCTGTCTGATGATTCAGCGACGTCACTCGTAAGTCTTAGCCTGAACCTCGGTCGAAAATATCAAACTTATTTAATGCAGACTTCATTCTGTTTCTGTGTTTGCATCAATGCCATGCACAAACTCTGTATGTGCGAGAAAGCTTGTTCCAAAAGCAAGCTTATATAGAGGATGTGTCTTTACAACAAAACTTACTATCAGTCACTATGCCTTGTGAACTTCTTGATTTGGAGTGTAAATTTGTTAAACCGGCATTACTTTCAGTTATTCTTTTTCTCAAAAGAAAAAGGCCATTTAATGGCTATAATTCGCTATTGATTTTACTAGGGATTTTCTAGTGAAACTTCCAATTTCTCAGCACAATTAAAAATATGAACTTGTGAGACATGATAACTGCAAGATCAAACTCCGTCACTAAATGCATTATTAATGGATGGATTTGATAGATTGTAATTTTCTACCTAATTTTATTTCCGCAAGTTTTGCGAACATCGCCAGATAAATTTCATTCATCGATGTTACATTTTCTGCAATGGTCATTTTCGAACCTTTCAATTCTGATTACAGCTGTCACTGGACTGAAGCTATGAAAAGATAATCATGTCTCGATAAGGGGGAGATCAATCACTAAAGGAGCGATAACATCACTCCTACATCTTTTCCACAGC